TTCCCCCGCATCTCCTCCTCCCGGCCCTCTACGGAACCCGACGCGTTTGCGACAACCGCGGGACACCTCTGGTCGCTCCTCTGATGGGGGACCTTAGATTTAAGTCGGGCGTGTCCCTCTACAGGGGGATTCTGAGCGACAAATGATAAGTACGCAAAAAATCCCCCCCAAATATTCAACAATGGTCAACAAATCGTCCCCAGACTATTTTTGAATATGTTTGAATATTCCCCCCTGTAGAGGGACAGGCCCGACTTAACGTCAGGGGGGGACTGGCTCAGGGCGGGGAACCTCGACCCAGAGTCAGCGCTGCACCGCTGAATGTGGCAAGCACTTGCTGGCTGCGGCGTCCCGCGAGGAACCACATCGCCTTGGGCCTTGCGCTCGGGGCGGTGGGGCCGGCAGCGCCGAGTGGCCACCCGTGGGTTCGGGTCGGGCGAAAGGGGGGGATAGCAAAGGGGGGGTTTGAGAATCAGCTCACGTAGCTGATTTTCCTGGCGCCTCCCGGCGCCAGGAGGCGCCCATGTATCGAAGAATGGGCCCCTCGGTGGGGGCCGAAACCAGCTGCATGCAGCAAATTTCGTAACCCCCCCTTTCCCAATCCCCCCCTTTCGCCCGGCCCGATGGGTGCAGCAGCTGCAGCGGTGGCAGCAGCATCGGCAGCAGCAGCACCACAACCAGCAGTGACAACACACAGTGTTGTCTCAGTTGCGGCATGTACCACGAGGAAGAAGAGAAGAGCGTGGAGGGCGCAGGAGGACGGTGGCGGTGCCCGCAGCGGCCTCGGGGAACCGACGGCCCTGAGTGACGACAATCAATCGCAGGCAACCTTTTCACCTCCTTGCTGGCATCCCCTGGCGCGCCGCGGATCTTCTGCGGACGCAGCCACTGGGGCCAAGCGGTTCGCGACCCCCCAGAGAGCTGGCACCGCCGCAAGCCAGCTCAAGCCAATCTGTGAGCTCGCCAGCTAGCCGCGCCAGCCGCCCAGCCTCGCTGGCGACTCAAGCTGCGCCAGCCGTCGGCACCTCTGCACGGCGGAGTTGCTGCCAACGCGTGAGTGCAACGCGCTCCGTGGGGGCGCTGACTTGGCTTCTTGGCCAGCCGCGTCGCCTTGAGCTCCGAGTGCGCTCGAGCGTCGGAGCGGCGCGCTCGGGGGCCGAGGTGGCAACGCGGCGCCGCTGCCGTCGCCGTCGCACTGCAATGCGCTGGCGACGCCGCCCATCGGGTGCCGTGCGGCTCCTGCTGCTCGGGCTCCGGCTTCCAGGCGCTCCGAGGCAGCTGCAGGCGACGGCACAGTCGCCGACGGCGAAGGACCTGCGCGCAGGTCGTCCCTGCCATCCTTGCCCGAGGCCCAGGGAGTCTGGACGCCCGCGCCCACGGACTGCGCGCAACGGGCCCTGCGCACCCCAGCTGCCTCGCCCTGCGGCCCGAGTCCGCTCGAGCGTCGGAGCGGCGCGCTTGTGGGCCTGGCCGGCGGCGCGGCATGCACGGCGTCGCTGCCGCCGCTGTCGCAGTGCAACGCGCTGGCGACACCACCAGAGGGGCGCCGCGCGACTCCTGCTGCTCGAGCTTCCATGCGCTCGGAGGCAGCTGCAGGCGACGGCACAGTCGCCGACGGCACAGTCGCCGACGGCGAAGGACCTGCGCGCAGGTCGTCCCTGCCATCCTTGCCCGAGGCCCAGGGAGTCTGGGCACCCGCGCCCACGGACTGCGCGCACCTGCGCACCCCAGCTGCCTCGCCCTGCGGCCCGAGTCCGCTCGAGCGTCGGAGCGGCGCGCTCGGGGGCCTGGCCGGCGGCGCGGCATGCACGGCGTCGCTGCCGTCGCCGTCGCAGTGCAACGCGCTGGCGACGCCACCAGAGGGGCGCCGCGCGACTCCTGCTGCTCGGGCTTCCATGCGCTCGGAGGCGGCTGCATGTGTGGTGCCGCTGCCGTCGCCGCCCCATTGCAACGCGCTGGCGCTGCCGCCGCAGGGCTGGCCGGCGCGCCTCGCGGCCCCTGCTGCTCGGGCCTCTGGGGCGGCCGCAGGCGACGGCGCCGGCGCCGACGGCGAGGGACCTGCGCGCAGGCCGCCTCCACCTTCGCAGCCCGAGGCCCCAGGAGTCTGGGCGCCTCTGCCGGCAGGCTGCGCGCCGCGGGCCCCGCGAGAGGAGCCGGCGGGCTCGTGCGCGTCGGGCCCGCCTGCCGGCGGGGAGCCGGCCGCGGCAAGGCGCCTCGCGGAGCCCGCCGCCTCCGCGGGGGGCTCCGCCGCAGCGGCGCCTCGAGGAGGCGCGCGCCAGAGCTCGCCCAAGGCTGCAGGCGCCGTGCGCTCGCCGGCAAAGTGGCGCCGCCCCTGCCGCAGCCTGCTCGGCGGCTCGAGGGTGCCATCTGGAGGGTGGATGCACAGGGCAGCCCTTGCGCCCGAGCGCATCGGCCTGGTCTGGGGAGAGGCCGTTTGTGCGCCCCTCCAGAGTCCCCACGGGGCGCCCCGCAGCACGCGGCCTCCTCGAGCCAAAAGGCTACGTGCGTGCCTGCGCCTTCGCTCCCCCGTGCATGCGCTTCCAAGCGCTGCTCTGCCTCGAAGGATCCCCACCATGTGGCCTCCGGCGTATTCGATGTGCCTCCTGCTGCGGGCTGTGGGTGCGACAGGCAGCTTGCATATGCTCCTACGTTTCTTCCTGCCTCTTCCTGCTGCTGTGCATCATTCCTCCCTCCTCCTGCCTGGTATAATCGGGCGTTCTTGGGCGGACTTGGCTGTTTCGGGGGCTCGTCGCATGACTTGTCCAAAGGCCTCGGGGGCGTGGCTGGGGGCCCGCACTGCTTGACACGTGCTCTAATGTGGTCCCAAGCGTTGGGCTCTTTCTCTCGGGCCTCTCGGGCCGCCTGGGGGGTCCTGGTGGGCCCAAGGGGCCAACATGACTGTTTTTTTGGACGCAGATGTTGACGCTATCGGCTTTCAGCTCGCACGCGCGTCCAGGGCGGCCCAAGAGGCCCCCAATGTCGCCCCAAGACAGCTCACACGCCCTCAACAAGTTCCGAGGACGGCCTTCAGAGATAGCCCCTGGGGGGAACGCTCAGAGGGGGCCAGGAGCGCCCTCCCCGAAGGTGGCCTCCCCGAAGGTGGTCCCGGACGCCCCCGAGAAGCTCCCAGAGAGCCCCGAGAAGTCTCCCAGCTCCCGCAGGAGGCAGTCCAGAGCCCCACAAGAGGCCCGCAAGGAGACTCCAGGAGGCACGCAAGGGGGCCTCTGATCCGCGGCCCAGGCGGGGTGGCGGGATTGGCCGAAGGCCACTCGATCCGCCGCCCCCTGTTGATTGCGGGAAAGTCGGAGGGAGGGGAGGGACGAGGGACGAAGGGAACGGGAGGAAGGGCGGGGGGCGGAGGTTGGAGGTTGAGGGTTGGAGGGCGCGGTGCCCGCATTGAGCTAGCCGGGTGGGGGAATCCCTGACAACCCGTCAGCTTGTTCTATCAATATTGCCTCAATATGGCCTCCATGACGGCCAAGACAGCCAAGACGGCCCCAAGAGAGCCCAAGGTAGCCCCAGAATGGCCTCCAAGATTGTCCCAAGATGCCTCCGAGATCGCCAGGATGGTCCAAGAGAGCCTAAGAAACGCCCAGGATGCCCCGAAGATGGCCGAAGAGTCCTCCAGGAGGTCTTCCAGGAAGGCCTGAAGAGGCCAACATCAACATCATTCATGTTACTTCAATTTTTTCTTCTAAGGTTTTTACCATTTGATTATTTTCGGCTTTCCGACGGCCTGAGACGGCCCAAGAGCCCCCAAAGATCGCCCCAAGATCGCCCAAGACACCTCCAAGATGGCCCCAGAACGGTCTAAGAGCCCAAGAGGCCCCCAAGACGGCCCCAAGAGGGCCCCAAGACGGCCCAAGAGGCCTCCAAGATGCCCAAGATTGTCTCCAAGATGGCCCTGGAGCATCCCAAGAGGGCTCCAAGTCGGCCCAGAGAGGCCCCCAAGACTGCTTCCGACGGGCCAGGAACACCCTAAGACTGGCGAAGAGACTCCCGAGAGGCCCAAGGAGGTCCCCAAGATGCCTCCAGAAGACCCGAAGAGTGCCCCCGGAGGCTCCCAAAATGCCCCGGGGGAACACATGGTCCGATAGCTTCGAAGAGCTCTTGCCGCAAGGCTCGGCCACATGGGCGATTCCAAAAGGCAGGGGGCGGCGTTGGTTCGCCGCAGGCGTCTTCGATACCTCATAGACAGCCAGACAGTCCTTCGGATGAGAAGGAAATCTGGGGTTGGGGTGGGCATTGGTTGGGGGGGCGCAACTGTCGGTATGCGATTGGCGTCCAATCGGATTCGCAATGCATCTGTTTCTCGACCCTCGTTATCTACCAACCTGCCGACCTACCCACCGATCCTAATATATTTAGCCCTTATATGGCTATATATATATATATGTAAATCTCGCGGTTTACCTATTCATATCACGTCCTATCTACCAAGCCCACTGTCCGATCTGACGATTTGCCAGTCTCACGAACTATGATGTCTAGAATATCACTCCGTGTTTCGGCATCTCTACTTCGGATCTCACTATATATGTGCGTTTGCTGAATGAGGTGTCCCACACCCGCATCAATCGTACGATTTGCATTTCGACTCCCAATCCGGCAGGTATTAGTCTTTCCAAATGTCATGCGCATTGCGATTGCAATTGTATCGCTATTGGATTTGCATTTCGACTCGCATGTCGACGTCACTTTCCCTTTGCACCTCGACTTTCGGAGCGGCTTGCGTTTCGGCCTACATTCCGAGGTGCATCTCGATGTCGTTAAGTGCTGCACTTCGAATTACACTTTCGTGCACGAATGAATTTCCATTCCGATGTGCATGCCGCACTGGTGCGGCAAGTCCGGAACGCTCTCGGAGGGTCTCGGAACGCTCCGGAAGCATCTGTCTGGGCCCTGGGCTCGCCCGATGGTACCCCCTGGCCCTGCCCGGAAGCCGAATTTCCTTGGCACGCCCGAGAGGCGACGGACAAAAACTAGAAGATGCCCAACATCATCCAACATCGACAGCGGCTGCTGTTGGGCAGGCGACTGCTCGTCTCCAGAGGGCAAGGTCCGCGGCAACACCGAGGACGAATCCTGCTCAAGCTGGGAAGTGCCTGCTGCTGGTTTTCGTCCCCATTCTTTCCATCCCCACTTCGATCGCAAAGGTTTTCATCCCGGATCGTCTTTTGACAATCCCAACGCCCGAAACCGGCCTCCAGAGGCACACGCTGGATAAAAACCACCCGTCTCGTTTCTTTTGAACAGTTCGGTGCCTGGGATCCCCCACCAGTCATACGAGGGATTGAATTGTCAATTAGCGGGCCCCAGAGGTCCTGACCCCCTCCCCAGTGGCAGTTCATCGCCCCGGATCCACTTCTCATGGCCCCAAGGCCTGAAAAAAACAGCGATGACTTTTAATGTTCTACATGAAGCTCTTACAGGGACCGGGATCGAACCAATCGACCTGTCAGAAGTCTTGGGGGGGCAGGGGCGGTCCCAAACTCAAACGCCAGCTCAAAATCCCCAGGGCCCGTCCGGACCAGTCTCGCAGCCCCTGGAGAGAGCTCGGACGGTCCCGGAGCCCACGGGCGGCACCCAGGGGCCGAAAACGACAAGAATTAGGTCAGGCATGTCCCCCTACAGGCGGATTTTGGATTTTTTCTGTTACTCATATCTTCTTTTAAAACAATTGATCAAGACATTCTCAAACAATCGTCCCCAGACGATTTGTTACTATTTTTGAATCTTTCTCCTGTCGAAGGACATGCCCGACTTCAGACAAGAAGCCTACAACCCTCGAGGCTGGTGCGACGAGCTCGTCCGCAGCGAATCCCAGCGCCCGCGAGAGAGGGGCGGCCTTGTCAAGGTGGTCAGGGGGGCTTTCGGAAGGCTGTGGTCATCTGAGGGGAGGGCTGGGAGGCATCCTTTTAGGAAAGCCTCTCAGAAGCTGGGAGGGCTCCCCAGAAGCCGCCCGCTCTCTTGGACGCCCCTCCCCTCCGTCTTCTGAGAAGAGCGCGGCGCCTCGCGCCGCCCCCGCCCCCGAGATCCGACGTCGCGAAGACACATGCAGCACCGCTCGAGATCACGACCAGCGCCCCAGACGCCCTCTTCCTGCGGCACTTCCAAGACCGCGCCGATCTGCGAGGGCCCCGGGAGCCTGGCGAGGGCCTCCCAGAGGCCGAAATGGGCGAAGAACAGCCGTCAGGATTTGTTCAATACATTTGATGGACCTGTCTTCCACCTCCACCACCATCAGCTGGAGGGGGGAAGGAGGACGAGGAGAAGGAGGAGGAGGAGGAGAAGGAGGAGAGGGAGGAGGAGGAGGAGGAGGAGGAGGAGGAGGAGGAGGAGGAGGAGGAGGAGGAGGAGGAGGAGGACGGAGGAGCAGGAGGAGGAGGAGGAGGAGGAGGAGGAGGAGGAGGAGGAGGAGGAGGAGCCCCTCCCCCTCCAACTGATGGTGGTGGCGGTGGAAAAAAGGGCCATCAACATTGGGTGCCTGGCGTCCAGGTCGCAGCTCGACTCGCCGGCGGCCTCTCGCCAGGGCACCCCGAGACCGCCCTCGGTCAGGCGTGGCCGCTGGCAGGCATCCCGAGGCCGGACACGCCGGCGAGAGCCGACGAAGACGCCCGAAAACCTCGAACCTCAAGCCTTGGGCCTTGATTTTCTAGCACGCTGGAGGTCTGGGGCCCTGGGTGAACAGCATCTTCGTCGTCGCCCTTGTCGTCGTCCTCGTCGTCCTCGTCGTCCTCGTCGTCGTCGTCGTCGTCGTCGTCGTCGTCGTCCTCGTCGTCGTCGTCGTCCTCGTCGTCTTCGTCGTCCTCCTCGTCTTCGCCGTCGTCGTCTTCAGGGTCGGCGGCACCGGCCGCAGGGCCTCTGCAACACGCTGGGGGCCTGGGGCCCGGGGGGCACGACACGGCGACGCCAAGGCCTCACGAGATCTCGGCGCTCCACACGTCCGAAGAAAACCTCTATGAAGGGCCCCCAGGACACACAAATAGATGCACACAAATAAAACGATTCCCCATATTTTCCCGTATTTTTTAGGGTTTGGTCTTCCCCCCCACTTCCCATATTTTCCAATCTTTTCTGGGGAATCGACGATTAATTGTGTCTGTTTTTTTCCTCCTGACTCTAACCCGTAACCTCGCGGTCTGGATTATCCAACGCGTCGGAGGTCTGGGGCTCTGGGTGAACAGCATGGCGACGGGCGGCGGGGACGGGGTAAGCCTCGATTCTTTGTTTGTTCGTTTTTCCCAACCCTCCTGCTCTGGGTACTCGTTTTGAATAGAGCACTGCGGTCTCCACCTTCCTTCCTTCCCGCCCCCCCCCTCTCTTCCCTCCTCCTCTCCTCTCTTGCTTGCCTTCTCCTCCTCTCTTCTCTTCTCTTGCCTTTACGTCATCTCTGGGGGGCTGCGATCTGCGGAACTGTCACCACTTTCGAGGGCTGCTGGTGGGTCCAGCGGAGTGAGGCACCACGGGGATTCAGATTAGACCTCGCCATCCCTGGGG